CGGGCGGGAATTCCCACACACCTATGCTCTTCTGATAGCCTCTGTCATCAGACTGATATGACTCACCACCAAGATCACTGTGCCCTTTACTTCCCACTGCCTGTACACACAGAAACAGGTCTCACAAGGGCAGATAACAGGTAACCTGGAGGCCTACCCTGAAATACTAGACTTTCCCTGACTTCCCTGCCTTTCAAACCCAGGTCCAACCTTCAGGTCAGTATTTAAGTTGTACCACTTAAACAGTACAGGAGAAGGGGCAAAATTCACCTGTGCTTCCCTGCAATCACAATAAAAGCAGAAGGTGAAACTCCACCGCCTGAGTCACCAGACTCAGCTCTTTAAGAGGCCACACTACAGAAAGCATGTGGACTTTCCATCCAACGATACAGTTTTCTATAGCCAATGAAATGATTTACATAGCTGCTAATATGTACTGAGCCTATGTACTGGGTGCTGTGTACTGTGCAAGGTACTTTGTATGTGAAATCCTCCCAACCATGTATTACAGGGATAACTGGGATGAGAAGCAGAGATCTGCAGAGGTTAGGTACAGTTATGTTGTGAGAAACGTGTCTCTAGGTGATTCTGCCACTGTGCAAAATCATAGTGTCTACTTACACAAACCCAGATGGAATAGCCCTTACATACTTAGGCTATAGGGTACAGCCTACAGCTTTCACTGCCATGATGAACAAAAGAACATGAGAAGAAATCAAGTAGAGAGACAGGGATGCATCTGAGAGACACAGTAAAGGTAGTTCCATCAAGCTGCTACTGGTGTAACAATACAGTGTGTCACCATTGACTTCTATAGGTAAGAGCACTCTCTAAACTAGTGATCACTATGGTAAAGTCACTGCATCCTTATCAAATACTAACTACCCTTTTACACAGGTAGCAGAGCAGCAGGCCCGTGAATACCAGCAGCTCCCGCACATGAGTAATGTGTTATGTTGTGATGACACTCAGATGCTGTGACATGACTAAGCAACAGGAATCTTTCAGCTCCATTATAACCTGCAGACCACCACTATTCCATGGCTGTGTAGCATGTGACTGGAACTTGTCCAGCTAGCCAGCAAACATGTCCTGGGGCCGAGTCTCTGCTCCTCCAGGTGCCAGCTCCCGTGCTAAGTTCATGGCTCAGAGCTGAATGGCAAAGCCATGGCTTACTGCTAAGTCATGTCATTCCCCAAAAGTGGCAACACATCAAAAAGATCTCTTCAGTCAGGCCAGTGACCAAAACTTATTCTTAAAACACTCCAGAGACTGGAGTAATGGCTGCTCTTGATCTGGGATTTGGGTTTAGTTCCCAGGACCCAGATAGTAGCTAATAACCATTCATAATTGTGGTTCCAAAAGATCCAACACCATTTTCTGACTTCTGGCACACTTACATATATCAGGCAAAACATTTACATATAAAATAAAAATAAATAAAATTTGAAAAATCATTCCTTATCTTTACATTTCTTAAAAAAAAAAAGCAAACAAACAAACAAAAAAACCAACAACCCTGAGATGTCACAATGTTCACAGCAATGACTTTTTCCAGATCTTCTCCTCTGGCTTCTCTCAACTGAGAAGTTCATTTCTTCATGTCACTTAACTGTTGAACTACCTCTCCAGCCCCTTAACTTCATGTTTTAAACAATTCCTGCATATACACAACATACTGTGATCATATTCATCCTCCCATAACACCCCTCTTATCTTCCTCTGGCTCCTCTGATTCCCTTCTCTCCAACTACCTGTGCCACTTTCATGGTTTTTGTTTTTATTTTTGTTTTGTTTCACCCACTGAGTTTAATGGGGGCACCAGTATAAGCGTGATGGGAAGCAGGAGCACGGGCAGCTTACCAGCGGCAACACCACTGAAGAAAATGACATCCCTCCCTCTCCCGAGACCGTTAACTGGCAATTGCTGGGTAGGGCTTCATGAGTGCCCCCACAAATCAATGATGGAATGCTGAACTCATTTGTTTGGTTTTGTTTGTTTTTTGAGACAGGGTCTCACTGTGTAGGCCTGGCTGACTTAGAACTCTCTTTGTAGACTGGCTTCAAACTCATAGAGATCTGCCTACCTCTGCTTCCTGAGTCCTGGGATATAGGCATGTGCTACCATGCCCAGCTTCAATGTGGAATGTTGAAGGCCCTTGTCTTGTGCCAGTATCCATAGCTACTGTGAGTTCCAGAGCACAGCAGCTACACCATGTCCAGAAGACAATGTTTTATAGTATCCCCCATCCTCTGGCTCTTACAATCTTTTCACCCCCTCTTCTGCAACATTCCCTGAGCATCAGAGGGGTTGATGCTGATGTCCCATTTAGTGGGACTCAATAGTCACTTATTCTCAACACTTTGACCAGGTCTGAGACTGAAATAACCATCACCCACTGCAAAAAATAAGGCTTCTCTGCCTAAGTCTTAAGGCAGTACTAGCACGTGGGCATAAACACACATTTAGAAGGCAGTTTGGCTATATATCCATTTTGCAAAACAACAGTAGTGGTTTCTACCCTAGAGTCTGTGACCTTCCCAGCCACAGGCTTTTGACTAGGTTTACAGCACCAAACATGCATTCCTTCTGTGGATCAGGCCTTAAATCCAATTACAAAGTGAATGGTTATCTCCATATCAGTAACGTCGGAGTGTACCAGTGGGCGTATCTTGCCTAGCACGTTGGCAGTATAGCACTCAGGGTCCATAGCTGAGTAAGACTCCTCTTGGATTTTTGAGACTAAGTCTTACTCTATAACCCAGGCTGGCCTGGAACTCATGGTGATTCCTGTGCCTCAGCCTCCCAGAGTGCCGGGTTACAGGTACATGACAGCATAGTCCATGGCTCTCAGTATTCTGTATCTTCCTTCCATCATGCTTTGGAGACTAAGAGCAGTAAGGCCAGTATACAACGAAGGCCCTGGACTTCTTGCTTTGTGCTCAAACCATAAGCATGCTCACAAATCAAACTCCTTCTGTCTCCTGCGTGAACCTCCCCTGTCATCCAGTAGCTGTCTCTTGGTGACAGGTGTTACCACAACAAACAAAAGTCAGGAGTGCCAGACTCAAAAGTGCAGCAGGTGCATTAGCTTGATGGTTTCAGAATCCCAGGAGTTTCCATATTACCAGAAATGACGGCCTCCTTGCAAAGGCAGCTGAATCAGTCCAGATCCACACTAAAGAGTCGCTCCTGCTCCCCACCCCCGCCACCTGAAACCTGGGAAGGAATTGGGAAACAAAACCTCTGGGCCACCCTTGGAGCAGCTCCAAGGTAAATGTTGCCTGGAGCTGGACTCCACTTGGTGGTTAACAGTTTGTGGGACAAGCAACAGGTATTGATTTCCAAGCCTGAAGATGTGTTCTGGCTCCTGTCCCAAGTGATAGTCCCTTGTGGGCCGCAGGCTCAGTAAATCTTAGTGTCTCATTCCTTGGCTTTTCTAGGTCAGCCTGATTCTTCCTTCCTCAATTTATTATGAACACAAATGCAAGCTCTATTTCTTGAGTTGTTTTTCCCCTGCCACTGAAGAGTCCCTAACTGGCATATGTGTGCCTTCCATATCAAACCACAGACTCCACCACTGGCCTCCATCTGATTTCATTTAAAACATTTATGAAGCACTCGTTGGCAATGAGCTGAGGTCTGTGAAAAACTCTAGAGAGCAGAGTGAGTTAAGTTTCTGGTTTTTGTTTTTCAGACAGGGTTTCACTATGTAGCCTTGGCTAGCCTGACTCACAGAGATCCACCTGCCTCTGTCTCATGAATGCTGGGACTAAAGGTGTGGGGTACCCCACCCTGTACCACTACACAGGCCATGATCTAAGATTTTATGAGGTATACTGACCACAGGAATTAGAGATAAATACAAAATTTTAAAATAAGCTGAACATAACTCCAAACTAAAATATGTAGCATGACATAGCAATCTTTCATACATTGTTTAAATTTATACTAAAACCTTTGTCCCCTAGCTTTTCTAAGTCCTTTGCTTCCTAGGGCAGTTCTCCAATAGATGTTTTCAAAGACATGGCCATTATGAAGAGGCTAAACTTTTAAACAACAAATGCACAAGTTTTGAAGGTACTTCAGATACTATTTTAAGGCACATGAAGGTTGGGATGTACTTAGCTCACCTTTGAGGAGAATGAGCTCCATTTGGGCCAGTCTGTGGGGGTCCAGGAGGTAGAGAGCCTGGGGGCAATAGTCCCCCGGGAACAGTGGCCCCCAAAGGCCCGGATGGCTTCATAATTCCTGCAAGAGAAGGGCATGAATTTAGAGGCATATTAAAATACGAAGAGAAAGGCTGGGCATGGTGGCGCTTGCCTTTAATACTAGCACTTGGGAGGTAGAGGCAGACAATCTCTGTGAGATCCAGGCCAGCTGGGGCTACAGGGAGACCCTGTCTCAAAAAGACCAAAAAGCATAATAAATAAATAAATAAAT